ATACATGCATTGTTCATATTTTTCTCTTTTTTGATAAAGTCAACTTTCGTTTGCACTTGTGCTCTCTCTTTTGAGGATTTTTGGCTGTATAATAGTAGTATGAAACTATCAAAACTTAAAAAAAGAAAACAGTTCTTATGTTTATATTGCTTGGAAAATGAAATAAATAGATCCGGATAAAAAAAATTGAAGTTTTACAAAATAATATGATTTTTTACATCTGCATAGTTGTAATTAATATTTTTCATAATTTATGACAAAAATTTTTGGTCATGAATACCCCACAAATTAATTTTAAAAAAAATTAAAACAAGAAGATTTTAGGTTAGGTAAAAGTATTTTGCTACAATTTTTAGTAAATAATTTTTAAATAGATAAGATCTAAATCATCAAATGATTATTATGGTTTTAACAGTAAAATGTAAAAATTTTTATTTCCCTGGCAATGCAGTTTTCTTGTCAAATTTGTCAATAAGTGCTACAATATACGATTTTTTATAAAAATCAATACAAAAATTTTAAACTTAAATCAACGAAAAGTTACGATGATCCATCCAACGATCGTGTCAATGTTTAACAACTTTTCTGATTATTAATCTCGTTGGAAAATCGTTAAATTAATAAAAAATCTTATGTATGTGTCAATTTTATCAGTTTTATCAGTTCTATCATTTTTTTTCGGTATAATGCAGTTGATAACATTGAAATATTATGATAAGATCAATTCAATCTTTTAGAAAATTCTTTCAAATGCAAAATGCAAATGAACATTTTGGATTTATATAAATATAATGTATAATTAATTTAATAATGCAAATAGAAGTGTAATTTGTGCAGGTAGTATTTTTTTGCAAGTATTCATTCAAACTAACATTGTAGTGAACTGAAATGATAAGAATGCTTGGTTTTCCTTCACCTCTATTTTCTGTTGGCCACCCTGCTAATTTTAACCCTCGGTTAATCTAACTGGACTTTGTGAAATTGGCCCTTAGGGGTGACGTGTAAACGTAGTCAGAGCTCTCTGATAATCTAGGACTCTACTCACAAGAGAGAGGCAACTACGATTTTCTTTCTCACTTCCTTCCGACACTTTTCAACCTGCTATTCCCCTTCTATTTATAAATGTTCTAAGGCTGCCTCTCACCTCTCACGGCAGGGGCCGGTCTATCCTACTATATATCTATGCTTCAACTCTTGTTGGATCCATGATAATGCTTATATTGCAAATGGTGGAAGTATAATATTAATTTTTTCTGTATGAATAATAAGATAAACTAACGCATTATGGCTACATCAAAAACTACCAATACATATAACAGACAAAATTGGGAAGATGCGGTAAGTATGGAGAAATTAAAGCATTTTACATCAGTGTTTTTATTTTAAATGTCATGAATTTTTTCTTATGTCTATATTATTTTATCCATATAGGAATTTCCAATACTATGTCAAACATGCTTAGGAGATAATCCATATATCCGTATGGTAAGTTATCTGGTAGTTGTCACAAATGTCTTTATATTATGAGATAATATGTATCAGTGTAGGAATTTTTGTCTGATTTTAACAAATAGCAATAATAAGGTTGCAAAATCTAATATATTTTCTTTCTTGCAATGAAAATAAACTCTATTTTATTAAAATATTCTAATCACTTATATATATTTGTTTGCAGACAAAGGAAAAATATGGAAAGGAATGCAAGATATGTATGCGACCATTTACAGTATTTAGATGGTGTCCTGGGGCAAGGATGCGATTTAAGAAAACTGAAGTTTGTCAAACATGTAGTAGATTGAAAAATGTTTGTCAAACATGTTTATTAGATTTGGAATATGGTCTACCTATTCAAGTTCGCGACGCTGCTTTGAAGATTAAGGATGATTTGCCACGTTCAGACGTAAACAAGGAATATTATGTGCAGAATATAGACAACGAGATTGGAAAAATCGATCCAACAACGCCAGCCGGTGCTGTCGGCAAATCTGCAGCGGCTAGCGATCTCTTAATGAAATTGGCTAGAACGAGTCCATACTATAAGAGAAATAGACCGCACATTTGTTCATTTTGGGTGAAAGGCGAGTGCAAGAGGGGTGAAGAGTGTCCTTATCGGCATGAAAAGCCGACAGACCCCGACGATCCATTAGCTGATCAGAACATAAAGGATCGTTATTATGGTGTGAATGATCCAGTGGCAGATAAACTTATGCGAAGAGCAGCAGCTATGCCCAAGCTCGATCCGCCCGAAGATAAATCTATCACGACATTGTATATCGGCAATTTAGGTGATGTATTAACAGAAAAACAATTGCGCGATCATTTCTATCAATATGGCGAGATACGTTCGGTGACCATGGTGCCACGTCAACAATGTGCCTTCATCCAATACACGCAGAGAAGCGCTGCCGAGGCGGCGGCAGAAAGAACGTTCAACAAGTTGATATTGGGTGGAAGGCGACTTACTATAAAATGGGGCCGTTCTCAGGGAAGGCAAACGATATCTGCAACAGAAGCAATGAGAGAAATTCTTGAACCTGTTCCGGGATTACCTGGAGCGTTACCACCGCCACCAGAAACTATGGGTAACAATTTTTTCAACCTACAGACCACGCCTGGCATGATGCCGCCGATGATGATTCCACCACCGCCTGTTGCACCTCAATTTATGTTTCCACCACAAATGGCGGCTGCAGCTGCGACGCCGATTTTCCCTCCAGGAACGACACCTATACATTATCCAAGCCAGGATCCATCCAGAATGGGCGCGTCACAGGGTATAGGCAAACCTTGGCCGGAAGAATAGTGTAATGACATATGAGTTTTTAATGTAACTGTAATGATAGGACAGAAATATATATCCTTCGAGTTCCTTAAAATTACAATATGTATATGGTTTTCGATTTTTTTTGTCATTAAATATTAATATTGATTTTTATTTATCTATGCAATTGATTTAAATATCTATTGTTGGTAATGTAAGATAAGTTTGATTTTTTATAGAAAGAATCTCCTACCATATCACAAGGCATATTGTTGTGCATCTCTGTAGATATGACAACAGTATTGATTTTCAGTCTGACAAACTAAGTAAGCTATAGCCATCTCGTTTAGCTAATATCCGAAATGTGGCAGGACAATGAAGTCAGATTTGATATTTCTCACTTGTAATTATAAAATTTTAATTACTCAAATTTATTGTCGATTTTTTAACTATATTTTTTAATACGCTAAATGTGGTTATTCGATTCTCATTTGATATTTATATCCAATAATTCTTATATTAAATAAATCAAACGTGTAATTAAATAGCCATATTTAGCATGAAATCTATAGTGAGAAATTAAATTAAATTATATAGGAGCGCGATGCTTGAAAATTAAAATTATTTTTGTATGTAGTAATATGCAGCTGCGATCTGGTGAACTGACTGTTGACAAACTTGACATGATAGAAGATACAAAAGGCAATGCTGGAGATTTAGGAAAATTGATCGTCACAAACTTGAGAATCTTATGGCATTCTTTATCTTTTCCACGAATCAATTTAAGTATGACACAAAATATTATCACACATACAGTATAATTTGTAATTTAACAAAATATAATTTTAATTAATTAATTTATTCGATATAAATACTGTTTCGAACGAAAGATGTATGATTTTATAGGTATAGGCTACAATACATTTGTCACAGTAAACACGAAAATTCTTCATACGGTAAGAACCATTTTAGTGCGAATATTTGCTGCATTGCTGAAACAGCAAGCAATCATTTCTTTTTTAGATTCATGGTGGATATATGCAAGCTCTTCATATATTAACTTCATTCCGAAACTGTCGATATGAATTTATATTTACGAATCATGATATCAAAAGTACTAGACATTACACTTCGGTCATAGGCGTTTACAGGTGATGATTATCATACTTTTATTGTTTATCGCTATATAATTAGGATGGTTTCATTGAAAAAAACTATGTTGATTGAACTTCATATGACCTTGAAAAATAATCTTAGTTAAAATTTAAGAATTTAAAGTTTAAATTCTTAAAATTTAAGAATTTAAAATTTAATTTATCAACTTTTTTCTCCCTCAAAACTATAAATTTTATCTGTAACATTTTCTTGTACAATGTCAAGTTTTGGAAAAAATATCTTGTAACACTTTATGTGTAAAACACTCCGTATGTATAATAGTAGCTATTTTTATAAAGTGCTTATTGCAGAGCTTACGTATCGTCGAAAGTTTACAGAGAAATTAAATTAAGAAGCGGTATTATACGTGAAAATCGGCTGGTTTTGTTACCTCAAGAAAAAGTACATTTTTCCATGCAAGATGTTTGGAACTTGTCCATTGAACAGGTTTCGAAAAGTTTTAATTTCTAATCGCCGGCATTAAATTATTACGCATGATAATCGCAAATTAAAAAAATAGTTATTGTTTTATAGGGAAATATCGGAACTTTTATTATAACAAATATACGTTTGGTATGGTATGCAGATGTAAATCATCAGTTTAATGTATCGATACCTTATCTTATAATTGAAAATGTGAGTGTTAAAATATGAATAATAATAAACAATTGTCAGAAAGATCTTTGAAAGATATATTTTTTATTAATTTTATCTTTTTAGAAATTGGAAAGAGATTTATGAAACATTATACATATTTTAGTTTTGGTAAATTCTATGGTCTATATCTAAATTTCTTGCAGATTACCATTAGAACATCGAAATTTGGACCGACTTTAGTAATTTTAAGTACAGAAGCCAGTGGAGGATATGTTTTAGGTTTTCGTATTAATCCTTTGCAACAGCTTCACATTATTCACAAAGAAATATCAATACTTCTTTCAGAATTCAGAAAGTTTCCTATTTTTGGTGTGGAATACACATTTGAACATCAGGTACTTTATAACGCATATTAATATACATTTTATAATAATATTGATTTATTAATCAAAAATAAAGTTTTCGATAAATCACATTTGTGAAATTTTTCTACTTGAATCAAAACTTGATTATGCCTAAATTAAATTCATAAGTTTGTTTTAATAACTAACACTTATTTTTCTTCTTTAAGAATATTTTTGCACTTATTTAAAAAATTAAATTGCTTGATAAATATCTTTCAATATAACGGCATATATTTCATAAACATATATTCGTATTTTACTATTGGATGAATTTGGAATATAGATGTATTGAAATGTCGTCCAATGGAAGTGTTAAATATTGTGTGTGTGCGTGTGTGTGTGTATTACAGGCACCTTCACAAGAGGAGATCAATGTGGAACATTTCACTGAAATACAAGATAATCAATCTGAAATATCAAATGTGTTTGGTTATTATTTTTCCGAAGGAAATACAGGCCAAAGAAAACCTAATTTTTCGATTTATTTAGGACTCGCGGCAGAAGAGCCAAGAGAAAGCAGTACATTGCAGAATTTATGGGAACTTATACCATCGTCTGTTAATTAAGTTTTTAACTTAATCGTTTTTAAAGTTTTAAATTTTATTTATCTATATTAAAATGCCACAAACTCATGTCGAATTATATGATAGTTCTTTTCATTATAGAAAACAATATGCTCACAAGAGGATAAAAGCAAACTCATTTTGTACAAGAATACACACACACACGCACGCACGCACGCATATACACAATATATAACATATTAATCAATTACATGTTCTATTAGATTCGAAATATATAACTCTTACTCAATTTTGTTTTATATTTCTTAAAACATTCATAATATCATAACAAATAAAGCCCTATCTTGTGTGTATTTGATCTTACAAAAATGCTTTTATTATTACATAATAAAAATAATTCAAAGTGTATTGGTGAAAAAATAAATAATTAGAATTAAAATAGCGTGAAAGATCATAATATGCATATTAATATAGATCCTCAATTGCCTAACTATTTTTAGTGTTTCTTTTTGTGGAATTTTTGCAAATATTTAACTTGGCCTGCAATTTAAAGCTTGTGTTATTGGTTGATCATGTTGATCCTCACCATCTTCGTCGCTAAATTCATGTTGAGGAACAGGAAATCTGTATCCCATGTTCATAAGCATTAATTCGAATGGATCACTGTTCATACGTATTTGATTGGCTGATGCAGCATCATCCAGATTCTGAATTTCCCTTTCATTTACACTACCATCCTGTAATTAAAATTAAATTAAGTTAATTGCATTTGCCGTTTTGTCATATACAAAGTTGTACTCTGTAAATTAAATTATGATGAACTGCTTCTGATGAACAGTGTATTCTGCACTTTTAAATTTTCAAATGCCAAAATAATGTATGCATACTCGACAACTTTTTAAACTCATTTTTCTGAATAATGGAACTTCAATCGAAGAAAAGTTATTGAATCATTTCGATTTATTTTGAGGCATAGAATCACCTCCTTCTTGGTTGTACTATGAATTCTGGGCCACCCTGTATATTCGGATATTTAAAAGTATCAACTACACATGTTTATCATTAAAATTTTCCGGTGGATACCAGTTAGGATAGGAAATCTTTGCATCTCTTGTTCTAATTGGTCAGAATCAAATAATTTGGAGAATCTATAACATCAAATGAGGAGTGTATACTTTTATACATATACATACATATATATACAGGGTAATTCATTTTAATCTAATCAACTAATTTGTGGAGAAATAAGATAAAAAAAAAATGTTTTCATCAATAATAGTTTGCCTTTGCATAGACTTGTCAAGGTCGTGTCAAAGTCGACTTGATTTTTTAAATTGGACATCCCTAATCTTTATTGCATGTTTTTGTAACTAACATCGACATTTTCAAAATCTCTCTATAAATCCTATTTCGATAAATATGTTATAGTAAATATTAGAATATAAGTCTTTTTATAACAAATTATGTGGCCACACCATGGTTTAAAAAATGACAACTTTAAAATACATTTATCTCCCGCAGTTAGCGAATTAATTGTAGGAAATCATTATTAGTCAAATAGAAATAACATCATAACACATACAAATATTCTTCTACTATAAAGAAATTACTTTTCAACAGTTCGATCATATCTACCATTTCATAACTCTCATTCCAATTATATAGTTCAATGCTCTTCTCCATCTATTTTCACTATAAGATCACATTACGGTCCACAAACGGGCTATGGAAAGGAAGATGGGCTACACTGCTACAGTTTGGCCCGCAAACTACATATTTGATAATTTTGGAGTGGACAGAGTGAGAATAGATTCTTAACAAAATATTTTTTCATTGAATTCTATTAGTAAAAATCAAAAACAATAACTATCTTTTCCTAATAAGAAAAATTAAAACTTTTATATAATTTTGTATAAGAGATTTTCTATTTAAAAGTTATTCAGTTAAATAGATTTTAATCTATAAATATGCCAAACTTTTCCTTTTTGAATAAACACTTCAAAATTAATCAATTAATTCTATTTTTTTATTTTATATTTGAAAATTATTTAATCTCATTAAGAGAATAAGATATAATTAATAAGCGATCCAAAACTCAACTCTTGGAATACTCTCTCAGTAATTTCTTTAAAATAATGAAACAAATAATTTTGGGATGTAGAAGAATTTTATTTAGTTTATTAATATCTAAATAAATTATCTGAATGACCTTAAACAAATTTAACTAGTTTAGTAGTTTAGTTCAAAATTAATTTTCAAAATCTCTCTATAAATCCTATTTCGATCCAAGCATTTTATAGTTTTATAACCATTTAAAGTTTCATTAATAATGCAATATGTTGTTTGATTAACATGAGTTTCCTTATCTTTCCCGCTTATAGACAAGAAAGGAACACGACTTAAAATAGGAGAGAATAAAATCAGATTTAAAGTCGGCATAATACAGAAATTATGAAATCCAATGAATACTACCAAGAAATTGCCTTAATGGGGGGAAAAAAAAAAAAAGTATGATTTACCTCTGGCCATGGACTCCATAATCTAATTACTGGATCAATACCACTGGTAGCTAACAAGCATGTGGATGGATGTGGTTGTAAACAATTGACAATTCTGTCATCTCCTCGCAGCACACGTATAATATTAGTAGTATTGCGATCCCAGATAAAAAAGGAACCATCATCTGACCCAGCTACTATATATTGGCCATCGCTTAAAGCAGGAATTAATATTATATGATCAAGATAAATCTTACACAAATTGCATAGAGTTAAGAACTAGAAATAAAGTACAAAATTTTAAATATATCATTAATATTGCTATTTAAACTCATTTACTTTCCAAAGAAGTTTGCCTCCTTTATATCAGTTGTAGTATTACAATGACCACAAAATCTTATTTTGTAATCGATTGTATTACGTCTCCATTCTTGCTCATATTCTGATATTGGGAAAAATGTTTGATTGGTTTGTGTCACGTCTTTTCCTAATAAATAATATGTACATTAGAATTGATATTTCTTAATAAAGCATTAGTAATTGTACATAGCTATAAGTTTACAACACACATTTATATACATTTTTATATATAAATGTGATCGAATAATGTTACCAGCATTGATAGCTTCCTTTATATCCATCTTCAATGCTTTACACGCTGAATTAGATGTATATTCTGGAAATTTTTGTTGAAAATTCTTGAGTACTTTGTCAGCTTCAATTGATCGATTTAAATCAAACAGACAACGCGCCAATCTGTACACATGTGTAAGTTACAATAATAATAATTCAATGATAGAAAAAATTTATCAATTCCAGCATAAAGAATTAAATTAAAAAATTCAATAAGAACGTTTGTTGTGCCAAAACAAAAATTCACATTTAGTTTTTTATTTTTAACTTTTAAACTCTTACTGAAGCTTTTAAATTGAATGTATTGTTCTTTAAATAGTACAAGATTTTTATTTGAGCCATAATTTGAATGGTAAATAAAATTATAGCAAAAATTTCACATGACTTTTTGCTGATGTGACTGAGCATTTTCTCAAATTCATTAATTATAAAGGCTTATTTGATTTACCTAAAATGAGCTTTTACATGTTCCGAATCGAGAAATAATGTTGTCTGACAATCTCGTAAAGCGGCATAAATATCGCCATCCCTATATCAAAATCACATAAATGTATATTTTTTTAGATTATTTGATATATATATACTTTATCGTCAACGAAAATAATTACCAAGCACGTTTCATGTAAGCAGCTGCTCGATTGGCAAACAGTACTGCTGCCCGTGGACAGTAAGAAATAGCTTTATTATACAAATTAATTGCTAATGAATATTTCTGCTGCTCAAACCCTTCATTGGCCTGTTAATAAAATGTCTTGTTAATTACAATGCTAAAAATCATTTTAGTTAATATTTTATTTAATTGAATATATTTTGATTCTTTTTCCATGTTTTTATCCTTTCATTTTTTTTTCTTTTCTTTTTACTGCGTAAGTATAATAGTTGAAAAATATTTTTTTAAAATGTCACACAAAAAACAAAAAATTTATAATGCAAAATTTATCATGAAATGGATAAAAGAATTCTTCTTCTTAAGTAAATTTAACTTTATAAATTATGATAAAATTTATTTAAACATGCTTATAATGTAGAGAAAATATAAATTTTCTCTCTCTCTTTCTTTTTGAAGATATTTCATATTTTATGCTACATGTCAATTCCTTATTTATACATGTAAGAAACAACTCTATAAACTTACTTGGCGTTTTAATTCTTCAATGTGTGGTGGCAATATTTTTACAGTTTTATCTACAAGATCTTCTGTATAGCTTGTGTTGTTTTGTTTTATGTGATACTTGTCAAGTTCTTGATCCTGCTCGATTGATTCTAATAAAACATAATTGATTATTGTGTATATAATAATAATTTTGCATACACATAAAAACGACAAACTTCGTGTGATAGTTACTTGAATATTTTTTTGATGAACTGAAAAATGTTTTTGAATTATTTGACTCATTGATATCAAATAAGTAAACCTGTTCTCCACCCATATTCACGAGTAACTCATTTCCATTATCGCTGAATGTCAGGTAAGTAGTTGTAATGCTCCTATTACCATCACGAGAGTGCAGATGGCCTACTCAATATTAAATTGAATGACAGTCTTAATTAAAATGATCATACCATACTTAAGAAAAAAAGTAAAGATAAAGGCATATATATTTGTGATTGTACGAACAAACCCGCAATAAAATACTGTGTGCTACCCAATGGGATATTGTCGTCTGGATCACCTTTTCCTGCTCGATAAGTGCTAATATTTGCCCAATCTGAGTTATCATGTATGGAGGGAGTTGGAGGCATCTGTGGGGTTTCAAAATTAGATGTTATAATGTGAAACACTTATTGACTGAAATCTGCCGAGAATACCTGCGATAGTTTTATCATTCGTCGATCATACATCCGAATGTAAGCATCATTAGCGCCAATGGCTATCAGCTCAGGCTTTCTCGGATTTACGGCAATGCATTTGCCCTCCGCATAACGACCCATATGATAAACCAAATTCACGAGAACATTGTGGTTGTTACTCCTGCAAATATGTGGTGTACGAATATCATATTGCAAAAAGAGACCATCTTCGCCGGCGCTCCAAAACAAGAAGGGAATACTGGGCACAGTGGCGATACGTTTAATACGCTGTTTGTGGCATTTACACGTGAATATCGGTTCGGAGAGGGTTAAATCATGCACCCGAATTCTGCAATCTCCTGCACCTGACACCAGTATACTGTCATTTGATTTTGGCATAAACTAAAAGCAAACACAAATAGTATTAAAATAAATATCTCATGCAACATCGTAGAAATAAAATTCTAAGAAAAATATTAAAATCTCACACAAGTGTAATAGGATTATTATATAATTCTAACGAGATCTTTATAATATTTGTGCACAACAGTGAT